AATTTAAAATATTTATATTTATCTTAAATAAAATTTATAATTTTCATGGATATCGTCCACAAAACTGAGTCAATTAATTTATTTCTATATTATTGAAAATATTGCTACCTATTCTTTTTTTTATTTAAAATAGAACTTAATGTACTCAACATACATATATAATTATCAAATTATTATTCTTTATGATAATAATTCATTGTTTGAGTTGTAGTCTATCTACGGAAACCTTGTTTTACTTGATAGTAAGAAGAGAGCATGCAATCATACTTAATGTAACTCATTTGACATAACTAAAGGATGTTATGTCATGCATTGCCTTGGGTCTTGATAATCTTGATTGTGAACCAATCATGATTCTGTTCAATTTCATAGTACATCTACACCGGATATGACGTCTTAGTATTACCTTTACACCAAGTGTCGAATAAAAACATATCATTTGATTTTCATATTAACATATTACCATGTTCACATTAATATGTTACATTTAAATAACCAATTATTAACATATATCTAAACTTATTTTTGTTACAAATATAGGAATTCAAATATATTGAAACCTTAAATACCAGTATTCAAAGATAAAATAATGTGCATCTCCATTGAGTATAACAAGAATGCATTGTTATACATTCGAGTAACAGAATCAAATTAAAATTTTTACTTAATTGTTTTTATATTTATTTAAATACAACTCTTAATATATGCGAATAAATTAAGAAAATGAATTGTTAAATATACCTGTGGTAGCATGTACATCATACAACAATTTCATTATAAATATTTTGTTCAGAATTTAAAATTTAATTCATATCCTGCATAGAGCAATATTTGATTTCAGTAGTTATAACTGAAAAGATGGCGCCCGAATGAAGGACGCTCAATTAAGAGTAGTCAAGATCTTGTTAAAACTTGTATTGTTAATAATATTACATATTTCTTAAGAAATGAGTAATCTTTCACCATTTGGAGGTGGTAAGAATCCACCATGGGTTCGTAATGCAGGTAAATCAATTTTATTATTAACATATATTGTATTGTCGTCTCGTGTGCAAGGCAACAACGTTGCCAAGTTTCTTTTATAATTTACACGAGTCAATGAATATATTTATAAAATATTCTCTACTAATATTTTGTGCATTGTCAAATGGTTAATAATTAATTTATAATTGATATGTAAAAATAAGAAACATAAACATGCGTTATAACAAAAAGAAAATGTTCAATACTATTGCATCCTCAATTCGTAATAGTGACCCTTGTAAGAAATAAATTTCTTTTTTGTAAATTTCACGTACACCTGTATAAATTTTATATAAGTCTATAATAAAAATGTTATCTTTTCAATATAAATATGCAAATAATACACACATTTTAACTTTTAAATATTTTTTTATTATTAGTCTATTTATATCTTTAAAATTAACAATTGTTATGTGTATTGTATATTGTATACAGAAATTTTAATCATTTATAAAATATATTGTAAACAATGAAAATAGTTTACTGATACTTTAAATTATGCAATAAAATTGTAATATAATCTATATGATATATTTATTTATATAAGGTATTGCAATATATCTATCTGTATAATTGATTACAATTAATATTTAGACATATAAATTTAGTACGTACTTTATTTTTATTTAATATGTAGGACAAGGAATTCAAAATATTCAACAACAAATGTTAGGCCAAGCAATGGGTAGTATAGGTGGACAGCCTATGGTTCAATATCAGCAACAAACTCAGCAAGTTTATCAGCAAAGTTTGGGATTACAACAGGTTAGTGGAAGAAATAAATTATAATGTGAATAAAAGCAGAAATAATATAATAATTGTTTGTCATCTTATATAATTGTTTTTTTTTATATTTTCAACTATAAATGTTTCATTTCTTTA